TAACAGATGTTAACAGAAGTAACTCCTTTTGGGATGCCATTAACATGTGCACCTAAATTGGCTCATTCTCGGAAAAGTTAACTATTCAATGAACAGAACTAACTCCCTACAAGCTTCCCACTAGCTTACTTCATGGAAATCACACAGTTTCTCTTAAAGCAGCACAGAGTAGGCAGGGGAAAGTTGAGGTCCAAGCAAGGGACCTGCTTACTGGCTAGCTGGGGCAACAAGCACTGAAAGTGGACAAAGGTAGAACCAGAAAGAGTTCTGAGGACCTGACAAACGCAGGCAGCATTTGTTGCAGGCAAGGACTTCCATGAGGTCTCCAGGTAGAGGAGCATAGTACAAAAGAAGGTAATCAAGGAGACACCTTGCATCCTGGATCCACACACTGAGCCATTTTCATCTCTGCAGAAGATACGGGTAGAGAGCAGGCTCGGAAAACCTAGAGATAGGAGGACATGCTGGCAGGATCAACAGCTGCTGTATGAATCCGCACTTGATGATAACAAGAACTTAGCCAGTAAAATAGAAGAAATACAGGTGGAAGAGTAGAACTTCCAGCACCAGTAAATCTGCATTTATGCTAGAACATTTTTGGACCAAGTTTGCTGGAAGAGTTAATAGTAGAAAAATGAACTTAAAACTGTCACAATTAGAAATTTTAAGAGTTATAGGGCAAGTTGGGAGCTCAGTTGGTTAAGCATCTAACTTTGGCTCAGGTCATGATCTTGAGGAAATGTCTCTTCATGTCTTCTGCCCATTTCTTAACTGGATTATTTATTTTTTGGGGTATTGAGTTTGAAAAGTTCTTTATAGATTTTGGATCCTACCCTATGACCCAACAAATGCACTATGAAATATTTACCCAAAGGATACAAAAATACTGATTCAAAGGGCTACATGCACCCTGAAGTCTATAGCAGCATTATCAGTAACAGCAAAATTAAGAAAAGAGCCCAGATATTCAGTGACTGGTGATTGGATAAAGATGATGGACTATTACTCAGCCATAAAAAAGAATGGAGTCTTGCCATTTGCAACAACATGGATGGAGCTAGAGTGTATTACACTAAGTGAAATAAGTCAGAGGAAGACAAAAACCATATGGTTTCATTCATATGTGGAATTTAAGAAACAAAACAGATGAACATAGGGGAAGGCAAAATGAAGAGAGGGAAACAAACTGTAAGAGACTCTTAACTATAGAGAACAAACTGACAGTTGATGGAGGGGAGGTGGGTCGGGGAAGGGCTAGACGGGTGTTGGGTATTAAGCATGGGTATTAAGGATGGGCACTGGGTGTTGTATGTAAGTGATGAATCACTAAATTCTACTTCTGAAACCAATATTACACTATACATTAACTAGAATTTAAGTAAAATCTTGAAAAAAATTTGTATTAAAAAAATAGATGTCACTGAAAACATTTTAAAAGAACTAAGTATTTTTCTCTTTTACACTTTAACTCCAAGCAAGTTGTAGGAGTTATATTTACAATTGTTCTTATCTATATGCCTACTAACTAATTATAGAGTTAAATAAAGATTTCATCCCAAAAGATTAATTTCAGTGCTTTTGTTAAAATTCTCTCACAGAGTTTCCACAACTCCTGGAAATCTGTGGCCATCTCCAGAACACAATTTCCAAACGCAATGCACTAGCACACCAGGGCAGTGGAGACAGGACACCGAGATGGTCAGGATCATCTTTCCTGTTGATTCTTTTACAGGCTCTGCAGACACTGTGCTTCACTGAGAAAGAGTAAACTTTTTCCCCAAGAGAGGTTATATCAGGTGAGTTTCTGGGAGTTCAACATGAACACTCTCTATTTCCCATTTCTCCTTCTCCAGCCCAGAGCCAGGCTGATTTAATTTCCCCTTCACACAAACTAAGGAGAGGAGGTGAGTAGTACAGTTGGCATGTTGGTTTATGAATGTTGGTTGAAGGCGTGGATTCTCGATTCTCCTCCTGTTTTTCCTTTTATTTTCGGTCTGTTCTCCTTGGGGTTTTGTGTGGTAGGCAGATGTCATGAGACCAGTGGTTAGAGAAATGGTGTCAGATTTGGTGATGGTGACAGAGGAAGAAAATAGCTGTTAGAATTAGTGCAGCACATGAACTTTGTCAAAGAGAATGACATCAACTTAATAACATTCAAAGCCATGAGACAACGTAGTAAACCTTGAAAGACCTTGCCCTTAAGGCCTTATCCAATGGCAAGGAAAACAAAGTAATAAAAAAGTAGATCACAGGAAAGAGAGGTCTTGAGACAACAGGGCAAGGTGAAGATATCTTATGGGGTATGGGTTATTCTGCTCCCTCCAGTGTTGGGCATAATGAAGGGAAAATGAATAGTCAATAGAATGATGGATTTAAAGTCAGAAAACTTCCAGTCCTGGTTCTAATTCTCAGCAGTTGGGTGATAGTGGTAAAGTGACCTCCCCTCCCTGTTCTTTCATTTGCTCATTTGTGAAAGGCTGGTGACACCTGCTTAGTCATCTCCCAAGACTGTCATGTACGTAAAATAGCAACAACAAAACAAAACAAGCAGAAAGGAATGACTGTCTTTGGAACACGTAAAATGCCCTGCAACTGCTGTTTATTAGAATTATTCTCTAAGGTGCTGACAAGAGCTGATTAGTCTCAGTAACCGACAGAAGTTTCAGTGGAATTGGGAAGAATTGTCTAGCAAAATATTTTTGATTCTCATGTGAAACGAAACAGGGATGCCATTTTTATAAGCCAGGTTATGAAAATAACTGTACTGGAACATGGACATAAACTTCTACAAGTAGACACTAATTGGAAATGGACTCAGAGTCAGAGGTGGGAGGATTTATTTATCTTCTTCCAGTCAGAAGAATATTAAGGAACAAGGTGATCAATGGAGAAAGAAAGAATTCAGGAACAAAATAAATTTTGAGTCAGTGTCAGCTCCTTTAATAGCTCTGTGATTCTGGGCAAAATATGCACCTTCTCTGACTCTCATTTTCTCACCTATAAAATGCAGATAATAATAGGAGTGTAATAATATTTAACTTGCGGGGTCGGATGATATTGACACAAAGTCCTTAGTGTAGAGCCAAGGAATAGGAGCACTTGTCATCCCACTTTGCCCTGTTCCTTTCACAGTCTACGTACTTGTTTATATTTTCCCTATTCCGTTTCTTTCTTGAATAGTCTGTCCTGTAGCCTCCCTGTATGTACCAGACTAACCAGCACTAGGACTCCTTTAAAATGATTATAGAAACTTTGTATTTCCTTCATTACATCTGCCTGGTCAAAATAAAATTGCTTATTCTTCATCTTGTGATAGAATCACTTTATTGACCCTGTAAAGATATCCTGTTTAGTTTATTGTGTAAATACTTAAGATGTCTCACATACCTGCTGACCCTAGAAGAAATCATAAACATGGAACAACAGAACCAAAGGAAAATAAGAAATGAGAATAGAAAGACTTAAACGGAACTTTGAATAGAAACTACCATCCCAAGATTTAATGTTGTATAATACATTTTCATTTTTATATATAGACAGTTTTCAGGATAGAGACTTAGTTCTCATGACTAATAAAATAAATGTATGCTTTTGAGGAAATTGGAGAGCCTTTCTAATTTGCTTATTCCATTTTTTTTTTTAGAGTATGAAAGAAACAAAGTATTCAATGAAAAATACTACTTTTTTGTTTTCCTGGATGGAAAAAGGTAACCCTGAACAGTTGTGTCTGAAGATTGTAACTTTTTAGTATGTTGTGTGCGTATGTATGAATGTTACTCAACTTCCCCTTCTGCAGTAATTCCAGCCTTCTCTTGCCTTCTTAAAAGGACAGTAGCCTTTCTCATCCTAATGAAATCCTATATGTCCAGTTAAATGTAACTTCCTTTGGGAATTCTGACATTTCCTATGGGTGCTCATATCTCACCCCAGCACCAAGCAGAAATAGTTTATCTTTCTTGTGTGTGTCACAACATCTTGTTTATATCATCGGGCTCCGGAGCAATTAAGGTCTCTACCCTCTACATACTCCTGAGACATAGCACGTGTCTGGAATGTAGCAGTCATTTCCTGTATGAATTGGGACTGAGGGCAGTAGATGGTTGAGCCTGTCTTCCCCTTAATTCCTACTTAAAGCCTGCCGCGTGTGACAGTGTGGTACTATTTTAAGAGTTGGGGATGGTGTTGGAGGAAAGACCACCATTTTGCTTCCTTCCCTGCATCTTCCTTATCTTGTGTTATTATTTATTTTTTTAATCATTTTTTAAATTTATTTTCAGCAGAACAGTATTCATTGTTTTTGTACCACACCCAGTGTTCCATGCAATCCGTGCCCTCTCTAATACCCACCACCTGGTTCCCCCAACCATTTTTAATTAGATCACAGAAATTTCCATTCTAATCTTTAGAAAAATATTCTGTCAGCATTGTGTTAGAAAAGGATGAATTTGGAACAATTCTTAAACATCGCACAGAGCACTGTGCAGCAGCCTATGTCTACTTTCTCCAGCAAAATCTTGAGGCTTTTTAAAAATATTGTCTTTATCTTCCCATGGTGACTTATGAGGCATGTTTAGGAAAATTTGACTTTAAAGGTCAGAGATCCCAATAGAGCCAGCCAAAATTTTGTGAAGTTTATAGAGTGATTAATTCCTGGAGTCCTTCATTTTCCAGCCCTTTAATTTGTGCAATCACATTGAATGTTCAAAGTATACACTGCTTTGTAAAGTCTTTCAAATACCCTGTGCCCAGTCCCAACCAGCAATTCATAAATAGAACTGATTAACATTCCCCACCACAGAGGTCCTTGAAGGAAACTAAGAACAAAAACAGCATCTTTGTTGAACCCAATTTGCTTACATTTCAACACACATAACTCCACTTAACTGGCCATCACAGCAAAAGCCACAACACACACACGCACAGCAGCATGGAGCTAACCACACAACTCAACAGACAATGCAGACAAACTTGAGTATAAACCAAGAGTTTTCTACCTCTTTTCATAACAGGTTAGTGCTGGCCCTCAGTGTTGGTGTACAGTTTTTATGGCATGGGAAAATGGGGATGTTTCTGCCCTATAAAAATAAATGTGTTGAAGGCTTTAGTTTGAGCTTACACATGTCAGAAAGTTCCAAAGGCACTGGCACAACACACACACACAAAAAAGTCCCACAAACAAATATATCACCAAAATATCACCAAAACACATGGCAAGGTACTAAGAGAACAGTGGTAGGAAAACTACTGGTTTCCTGGATGATTTAGGCAACAGTTTTCAACACCTTCCTGAAACATAAAGCATGCTGGTGGGTCTTTGGTGAGGTATATCTTGTCACCCACCACCATTTATACCAACTCATTAGGTCATTTTCTCCCTGCAGAAGTAGAAAGCACAGAACCCTCATTGTTCTTTACCTTCTAAGCTTTAGGAAGGGCTAAGAGAGCATGTAGAAATGCATGCACTATCTTTAAGAAAGGGATACATGGAATAAAAATACAAAAAAAATAACAATTTCTTCATTTTATATGTCATAATATGCACTTCTTTCCAAACCTCAGTTTGATACATGTGGTTTTTTTCATGGATGACAGCTTTACTCTAGAAGGAGCTGGGACAGAAGGATAAGCAGGAAGCACAAAGTTCTGAATCTGAATAAAGACAATACTTCACTTGTTACATCAAAAGATGCAGGGTTAGAAATTGGGAAACTTTCTGAATTGGACAATGATTTGCAATTCCTCAAAAAGATAAAACTTACCACATTCTGTGCAAATTTCTCAAAAGATGTTCTGCGATCCATTGAGTGTGCCGACTTACATGAGTGGGGGGATGGGGCAGAGGGAAATAGGGAACATAAATAAGAAAGCAAAGAAAACAGAGCAGAAAAAGGATGATGAAATGAGGCAACAGCAAATCCATGTTCTAAATCGAGGGACCAGGAAGGTAGGAGAGCTGCCAAGGAAGGACCCTAGACGCAGGTCACAGGTTCTGTTTTTGTTCGTACTTTTAACACCAAAGCGCTTCCTGTCCAAGCAAAATGGTACGGTTTCAAGCAAAGTCAAGTGACACTAAATGAAGTAGATACGTGAAGCTTTTACACTGACATGAGTAAACCTACATACTTGAAAATCTAGTGGAATATTCTCCAAATTCCCTCCTAGTTTGCTGTCAGGACTAGATTTCTGTTGATTACGTGAATTCTGCAGAGCACTGCTGTCCAACAGAACTTTCTGAAAAGATGGGAACTTTGGGGCGCCTGGGTGCTCAGTGGGTTAAAGCCTCTGCCTTCGGCTCAGGTCATAATTCAGGGTCCTGGGATCGAGCCCCGCATCGGGCTCTCTGCTCGGTGGGGAGCCTGCCTCCTCCTCTCTCTGCCTGCCTCTCTGCCTACGTGTGATTTCTGTCAAATAAATAAAATCTTAAAAAAAAAAAAAAAAGATGGGAACTTCATTCTATGTTGTCCAGTATTCAGAAGCCTTAATCTGGGGCATGGAGCACTTGAAATATGGCTAGAATTTTATGTACTTGTAACTAAACTTAAAATGTTAACAACCCCATGTGGCTGGTGGCAGCCGTACTGGACTCCTGCAAAGACAGTGTATCTGCTTCTAGCTGTGAAGGCCATGGACTTTGAAGACTCCCGTTAGCCCAGATAACAGTCATAAATCACACAAAATTACAATTCAATCTCAAAATTTCAAGAAGTTATGGACTATTTTAACATTAAAAAATAGTGATTTTTATATTCAGATTTTCCATACCCTGCTTTATTGTTTATGCTGGTTATAAACATTAACTGAATAATGAGGTCTGTTGCAGCTCTTCCAAAATGTGCTTGGCTACCTTCTTAGGTATGTAAAATTTATCCCAGGGATACTAAGTAACCCAGGATAAATAACAAATTAAAATATTCTGGAGCAAACATTACTACATTCTGACAACTATCATTGAAAAATATGAGTCTAGGGATGCCTAGGTGGCTCAGTGGGTTAAGCCGCTGCCTTCGGCTCAGGTCATGATCCCAGGCTCCTGGGATTTGAGTCTTGCATCGGGCTCCTTGCTTGGCAGGGAGCCTGCTTCTCTGCCTCTGCCTGCTTGTACACCTGTGTGCTTGCTCACTCTCTCTCTCTCTGACAAATAAATAATTAAAATCTGAAAAATAGGAGTCTACATTTAGTCATGGGGTATGTGGCCAAGAACACACGAGCTTACTGGAAAGAGAAAACCCTCAAGTTTTTGACCTAATGATGTTGTTCTTTCCTTTCCATTAATGGAATTTTTATTTCCTTAAACTAGACATACAGAAGACTAACATGAAACATGGAAACTTCTAAAAAACGTAAAGCATGAACATTTGCAGAAACAAAACAAAATAAGCAATCAACAAAAAAACACCTTAAATGGCCCTTATAAAATGCAAAGGTTTGGGGAAGGTCTTAGAGTGTGTTCACTTACCATTTGTCCAATACCCTGGGCTCAGCAGAAGGAACTACTCCACACAATTACAACTGAGAACCAGATCGAAAAAGGTCACAAAGAACCAATACCTTTTTCTTTGCCTGTAGAAGCTCTTGGTAGGCACTGGATCTTATAAAACGTGGATATGAATCACTTTTCATCAATTTGTAAATGTGCTCCTAAAAAGAAAGAGTGGTTGAATTGCTTCTTTAGTAGTTCTCAGGGGCAATCAGATACTGTGATAAGAATATACAATATGGTCCAAAAACAATTCTGGAAGCAGCTAAAATTGACAATGTTGGTGAGAATACTTTGTGTTGATAGGACATCTAAGTCTTCAGATTTATTATTTTATTCATGGATCAATATTTGAACTGGTTTGAGAGCTACAAGGAGGCAAGTCACATCCAGTCCTTGAGAGAAATGGAATTCAGTTAATGGAGTGTCATGAAGTGATTTCAGATCAAGTGGCTGATTTATATAGGTCATTCGAGACTATGAATCTGCTATCTCTTAAAATTATTTCAGGCCAAAAGTGAATGATACGAAGTCAAGATCGAGTGGTCATCATCGATACCTCTGGCATCTACATGTACTTGGAGGACGCAGACTGCCCAGATGAATCATCTCTTCGGTGCAAATTATACGGAAAATTGTCACCCACATCCACTCTGGGGCAGAGCACAAGTCTGAGAATAAATTTTGGGATAGTGACTTGCTCGATCTCCCAATTTGTATGCTTTTTAAAAAAAGCTCCTTTAGTGACAGATTAGGTAAACATTTAATCCTAATCAGTCTGCTGTGTTCTAGCTTGATAATGAATACTGATAAACAAAGAAATCAAGAAAAAAATGTATTCATCCATTTCACTACGGGCCCAATGTCGGGCGATTCCGCTCTGGCCCCCTGCGACACCGCGGAGCATCAGTACTCCTCTTTTTAGTCTCGGGAGATGCCAGTGAGAGTATCCTGGATGTCCCAGAATCTCTTTGTTTGCAGAGAATATGTATCTTAAAAATGACTGTTCCCCTGGTCTCAACACACCTGCATACTTTGGAGTTACTCTCACTCAGTATCTAGCTCAAGGCTCCTCTCCATGAGGCTGGTACATTAGGGACCCTGTCAGAATTGGTGGTTAGAAAAGTGGGGGGATATCGGACTTTGGAGTCCAGCATTGTGGGATTCAGATCTTACTGTGTTGAAGACCTGCCAGTTCCAAACATAGAAATGCAGGCCAGTTTATTCATCTTTCTGAGTCTTCGTTTTCTAATCTGTAAATAAGGGTGTTGTAAGGATTAACGGGATGGTCTCTGGCAAAGAAGGGGTTTGGATAGTAAGTGCTCAGATCTACTCGAATATATGCCAGGCACACTTCAGGTAATTTAATCCTCACCAAAAAAGCGCATCTTTTCTTAAATAATGCCAGGAATCTCTATTACTGAGCATTTTTGAAGATGAGGTTAAAAACCCAGCAAAAACTGGGGTTAAATATCTGAACTGAACCGAAAAAGAAGCCCAGTGTCAGGTGGGCTTCTATATTTTCTATAGAATGTTATGCTTTTTTAATTTATTGGAGACCTATTAAGAATATTTTTAATGCCACAGATAACAAATATTCCTCTGTAGACTTTAGGAAGGTCATTCCAAACATTTTACACATGGTTGGCTCTAGAAAAATGCTTGAAATTTTGTCTTGAACCGAAAGAAAGATAAATCGGCGAGAAGCAAGCAACACGGCTAGAATTTCCATCCTGCTCTCTCGTGTCTCTGTAATTACTTCCACCTAGAAGGCCATGGCAGAGCCAGACAGAGTGGGTATCTGGTTAGCTGTTTCAGCCTGTGGTAGTTTTTCTATATGATGGTTCGTTTCTTTAAACCAAAGCCAGGAGAAATGTAATTTCCACTGAGAATGCAAGTAAGGAAGGGCGTGTGTATATGAGTCTTACTCCATCTTCTGTATTTTATTTCTGTAATGTGGTTATCTGAAAAATAAGATGCTTTCTAGAACTATTCATCTCTGGAAGAGTCTTAAGAAATTAAGAAGTATATGTGTTCCGACTTAAATGCCAATTTCAGCACATCATTAGGAAAATAATATCCTCTCATTTCAAGTTCATTTTTCTCTTGAGCATAATTTTTTTGGAGAAAGTGGAAATTCAGATTGTGTCCAAAGAGGCGCTTATGTCCAGTTTGAAAAAAAAAAAAAACACTAAGAAAATTAGTATCTTAATATAAACTTGTCTTAGGAAATGAGTATCTTAATATAAAATTTCCTTTTTTTTGGTCACAGATTAAAAAGTAAACTTGGAAAATTCATCCATGCCTCAATCTATTATTTCGTTGCATCATCAAAGACAAAAATGGCGTGGGTGTGACGTTAATTTAAGCTGCTTTAGTTTGGTTCTGACTAGCCATAATAATGAATAACTTAGGAGTGTCAGAATCTTAGAATCTCCACATTGGAAGGCACCTGAAGATTTCAAATATGTTCTCCTGAGGTGGGGCCATCCTGAGAAAAGTGTTTTCTCACATACTGGGTGACAAAGTGGAAAATGAAGTGAAAGTGTTCAAATCGGTCAACCATTCCCCTTCAAGAAATTTTCATGTAAAAATGTTCAAATTGGTAAGACATCCCCGGGTTCTAGAAACTATTTTAATGTGTCTCTGTTTTAAGTCCACTGGGGTCATCTCACGCACAGTTACCGAAATTGACAGCGCTGAGCCTCGCTGCCGCTCAAACGCAAATAAAGCCGAGGTCACTGCGGTGCCGACGTCCCCGAAGCACGTTCGTGACTCACTGTGAGGCCCACGCGCTACCGACCTGAGCGTCCTCGAACGTGTACCGCCCGGGCTCCTTCACATTCTGTGTGGTTTTGTCGTAGCTCTTAGAATCCAGGTTAATGGCGCTGGGGGCTCCGGGAGCCAGAAATTCTTGCCATATTTCCTGCACTCGGGAAGGGACTTCTCGAATAGGCCTTTTCTTCAGGTCCTCCACTGCCAGCCAGAATCTGTGCAAAACGAGACACCAGACATTCCCTGTGACGCCGCACAAGCTGCAGGTCCTCGTCGCCCTGACCGGTCAGACCACGCACGACCGTGCAGGAACGGGCCCCGTCTTCCTGCGGGCTTCCAAGAGGCGGCCCTTCTTTCCATGAGTCGCCGTCAAATGTATCGAAGTTTTCCAAAGGAAACACGGAAAACAATCTCTCTTAAGTGTTTTTTGTTGAAAGCAGATCTCCCAGAGCCCTGATTCTTTACACTTTAATTTTTAGCAGAGCAAAACTGCGCTGCCAAAGAACCGTTTGTTGGAAAGGGAGAGGAGGTGGCAGGGAATTAGAGTGAGGGACATGGAGCATCTGCTTGGGGGCTAAAGGAGGGGATTATGCTGTCGTCTTTGAATCTTTTGTCCATTTGAGCAATGAGGGTTAGTATGGAGAGGATTTTCTGCTCTACCTGGCAAGGGAATTACAGTGAAGCTTTACTGGAATTAAGAGAGGACTGGACACAAGATCAGAAAAGGCCCTAGATGGAGAAATCGGGGCGAGCAACTGATTTTGGGCTATTTAATTCAGAGCGTTATGGAATGGCAGAAGCAACCATCACATGTCACTGTTTGAAAGTTTTAAATTTGCAGAGGCCTTACAGCAATTCAGAAGCTCTGATAAAACAAATATATACTGACTTTCTTCCAAATATATAAATACGTTTTATCTACTGCTGCACAGGATATACATACTCTAAGGAAAGAACACCAGAGCATGTTTTGATTGATAAGAGCAAACAGCAAAGCCTAATAATAAAGGGCCACATTGTATTAATGGGTTTCACTTCTTTAAATTTTGCTGTGTTACATGTTTTGGTTAGAAGTAGAAATAATGTTGAAAAGATGAATACGTGTATCATTATAATTTGTTACGTGAAAAAGGAACTACTAGGTCTATGTTATCCTCAATACGGACCATTGTCGCTCTCATGGCAGATGTAGTCATGTATGAAATGGGCAGATGGCCACAAAGACGGAGGTCGCGACAAGCTATAGAGTCTTAAGAGGTACATGACCAGCAGAACTTTCATATCATTAAGTTTTAACTTGGGCACTAATGAAAAGTCAGAAATAAGCAATAGAACAGTTGAACTAGAGTTAGAATAGCAAATATTACCCAATCTAGTGAGTTTCCAGTTTCTTGAGATCATTCTCCTGTACATGTATGTAACGGTGGATTTACTGTTATTTATCACATGTATGTAACAGTAGATTTAGACAGTGCCTTACACAGGAAATTATCATCACTGCTTTCAGAAGGGAAGGCTCAAGACCATTCATTTCCTCCAAAAACAGGAGATTTGGACACTGTGAAATTTAATAGGAATGCCATGTGCCATCTGAGGGAGCATAAGTGAGGTCATCAATGCTCATTCAGGTTCATTCCAGCATGCTTTGAGCACCTTGATCCAAAGAATTTTTCTGTCCTCAAAGAACAGAACCACTAGAGAAAAAGATACACCATTTAAATGGCGGCCTAATACGAGGAAGCCCAGGAAGGGCTCTCAAGGGACAGAGCAAATGACAGTGTGGGAGTGTAGAGCAAAGAACCTTCTGCTGGGCAAGCACTGGCCTGGAGAAGGGAGTCCTAGGAAAGGACAGAACATTTAATACAGGGTTGAGGAGATATTAATCACAACATCTACTCTAATATGTAAGTGCAGGCACTGTTCTAAGTGGTTCAGCTCTACTAACTCATGTAGTCCCTACAACTCCAGGGTCTGTGCTGTTGGTTTCCCCATTTTCAAGAAAAGGCAATGGAGAATATGGAGATTAAGTCCGTTGTTGAAGGCTGCCCACTATGAGCATCGTAACTGAGATGAGTTTCAGGGCTGGGGTCTGCCCCTTGGGTAATTCACGGCAGACCACATGCTCATCACCACTCCCTCAGACGTCTCCCAAAGACCTTCCTTGCCTTATCCTCAGCCTCCCTGCAGGTGCGATAATAAGGTAGCAGAATGGAAAAGCTCTGGTAAGCTCCCACCCCCCAATACACGCTAACTGGAATCTGAGGAAGTAAGTGTCTTAATGTCTTAGAGTCTTGAGTTCTTCATCAGTAAAATGGGATGATAATGTTTATCTCATTAGGGTTCCATGAGATTAAATAAGACAAATTATGTAAAAGGCACTTTCGAGTGCCTGACAGATTTTTAGACATCCCACAACAAAACTCACATTACTGTTTACTTAGTACTTATGCTATGCTGTGTGCTCTGCCTGAAAAAGGAATGAGCAAAATCACACCAATGGGCAGCAGAGGTGGTATCTGAGGAAGAAGTAGGCATCCATAAGCAGTATTTCTTGACTTTTTTTTCTGTCTTAGTACTTGGAGAAAGTGCTCATCTGAGTGTCTACACTGTGTAAACAGCAGGTGCTTACAGGCAGCTGCCCGATAGGATGCACTGAGACTTTAGGCTCGATTAGCCCTGCCAGCGAACCGAACTGTTCTGTTTCTCTTAATCTGTCACACCAGATGCCTAAGTGGAAGAAATGGGGCTCAGAGTTGGGGAGCAATGGAACGTAGCCTGTACTGGTTTACAGAAAGCCGAGGATGCCAATTATTAGCCCATCTGACTCGGACAAGCCGATTAGCTTCCCCCTGACATATGTTGCTTATCTGGAAATGGGGCAAGAATGTTTACACTTCATTTTTGTTGTGATGATTAGATGTGTGATGATCAGAAATAGCAAACACAAAATATGGCACACTTACAGCGGTAGGGGGTATGATTAGAATATGACGCGCATGGAAAATATGTCGTATTTCCTGTATGAAATGACTTAGCGGGACAACTAGCATGGCATAGGATTATTGAGATAAGAAATGGTCAAGGCTTGAACGCAGAATCAGCAGTTAGTCAATCATCCTTGAAACGGAGTTTGCACATACTCGTTCCTTTGCCCAAACTTCTTCCCTCTTCCTTTCAGTGGGTGGGGAGGGGGGAATTTGGGGCTGGTTATCTCTAGACATCCAGGTCACAGCCTAAAGCCATTTTCCCTGGGATGCCTTTGCTGACCTCCAGCTCTGGGTTGACTATCCCTCTATGCTTCTCCAATCTAAATAACCACCAACTTGTGTTGTGATCTCTTTTCTTCTCTGTATCCACCACTAGGACCATTTTTATTTGCTTAGGTGATCCTGGTGAGGCTCATTCCTTGTTTATTTCCTCATTGTGACCCCAAGGATGTCAGCCTTATTTAAAAACTTAGAGAATTAGAGGAAATTCCACCTCCCCATCTTCTGAAAGGCTAAAAAGATATTCTTTCTCTGCTCTATTTTTTAATGCATTCTTACACTGAATAATTGAAGACGTGGCCTCAGTGTAAAAAAGAATCCTTAGCAATTGTAGATCTCGTAAAAACCCTGTCAGAAAGGGTTCCGATAAACTTGAAAGAATCGGAAACTGCATCCCAGCGACTCACGACAGGCACGCATATATAACCACATTCCTCTAGGTTCCGACTGTGGTCATCTTGCTTAAACCACAGACCATCTGTCAAAGTTCTCCATTATTTCTGAATGGTTTGGTATTGGGATCCGTTCAGTCATCTGAAAAGAATGTGACAATGCCTGGGGCCGTAGTGTTCCAATGAAAATAAATGAATGCTGGGACCTTTCTGTAAATGAATTTCACAGGACTGCCTAAGTCCTGGGAAAGTCAATTAGGATATCATGTTGCAAAAGAATAATGAATGAAAGAGTTCACGGACAAACATTTTTATGTAGTGGAAAGTTGTCACTCACTTCAATGATTGTAAGCAGGGCCACTAAAATCCACAGCAGTGTCTCATTGAAAAATTCAATTTCCAGGTGCCTCTCAAGTTAGAAAAATTTCAAAAAAATATGTAAGGATGATGTTCACAGCAGATGGGTGGGACGCACACCCCTTTTCTACTAAAGCTCAGTGTGGTGTGGATACCAACCGCCCTGAGGCTGAATTTAAACATGCAAAGTGGATGGACTGGCCCATAGTTTTGTTCCAAGTTATTTTTAATTTAATAGACACCCGGATCTCTTTTCCTAGACCTTACTTAGGAAGCAATATGCGAAGAAGATCAATACCGATGAATAAGGATGATATAGCTGCATAAATGTTATTGTCCATTCCTCGTTTTGTCAAACATTAGTCCAAGGATTACACTTCTTTAAAAACTCCATTTCAAATGCATCAAGTTATATACTTAAAAGATCAAGAGGTAGTGTAAAAATAAACCTTGTAAGGGACTGATAACGCTGGACAGGCTTCCGCCGTTGTTAGCATTTTCCCTCCATCAGGAGGCAGCAATTCCGTGGGTTCATATCATCAACACGTTGGTAAGAGACTAACTGGTCTATTTTGTGCAAAAGAACCAGACATATTTCTCTCTGACAGAGAATAAGATACAAACAATGTGTCTTACCTTAAATTTTCTGAGCTGAATTCTGACTCTAGAAATTTAAGGAACTGTTCTCTCCCAACGGGGTCTTTCAATGCTTCGTCCATGCCAAAACCCCATCGCTTTACCCTCTGCTGGCTTGGTTCTTTGCTGTAGGAGGTAAAACAGAGCCAAATGTATTCATCGCCAATTCTGTATTTTGTGATCACATTTCCCCTCAGAATCATATATACCCCGGGGAAGTTCCCATCTTTAACATATCTTTCAGAAAAAAAAATCTGTGACTGATGGTGTTGCATGAAGTCATGTTGAAGTATATGTTAGGGATTAACAGTGGTGTCTAATGTTTACTAAGCATTGGGTGCTAAGAGATTCTCTCTTTTAGATTTTTTTTTTGCAACTTTCTGAGACAAGCACTGTTATGCTCTCACTGTGTAGATGAAGAAATCAAGGTACAAAGAGAGTTATGACTTGCCCGTGTCTGACAGGCAAGAAGGGGCAATATTCTACACATTCTGACCTCAAAGCTCATTTCTTAGCCACTATATAAAGCAGTCTTGAGGGGCGCCTGGGTGGCTCAGTGGGTTAAAGCCTCTGCCTTCGGCTCAGGTCATGATCCCGGGGTCCTGGGATCAAGCCCCGCATCGGGCTCTCTGCTCGGTAGGGAGCCTGCTTCCTCCCCTCTTTCTCTGCCTACTTGTGATCTCTGTCTGTCAAATAAATAAATAAAATCTTAAAAAAAAAAAAAAAGCAGTCTCGAGGTGGTAGGCTGGACTGGGGGAAAATGCATTGGGAACCAAGAGGCCTCAATTCTGGTAATGAGTCTGCTGTTGATGAAACGTGTGACCTAATCCTAGCTGAGTCACAACATTCTGGAACCCAGATCCCTCATCTTTAAAGTCTAGAATTTATGCATGAAGAGTCTGCACTTGTCAAACATTTAAGAACACTGAATGGAGGTAAAAGAAAGAAAAGGTCCATAAATACAGTTTAGTACAATACAACTAAGTACAAAATCCTTACTCTGTAACGTGAGGGACACTGTTCTCATGACTCTGTCAAGATCAGTGACTCGAGTCTTCCGCTCTCAGGAAAGAAATCAGGAAGTCTTAGATCGTGCTTTGGTTTGCTTAAGAAGTCAGTCTCTTGTCAGATTCTCTTAGAGTGTTTGTGGTGTTTTGTTTTAAAAAGTGTATAAGGGCATACTTGTACGGGCTTAACTGAGTCTGGATTCAGCATTCATTCTGCTTGAATATGGGGCCTTTGTGGCCCTGTGGATTTTCAGAGAAGCTAAAAACAATGCACTAAATTTCAAGAACCAAAGATCTCAACTCTGACTAGTCTATTCTGAAACTCCTGTCCTTCTCACTTTGTGCCCGTCCTCCGGAAACACAAATCTGGACACAAATGCAAGTATCTAAGGTTCAAAAACTATTACCTTGAACGAGAACTTTATATCATGGGCAAATAGAGACACAGAGTAAAACTGAACTTAAATTATCAGCTACAGAATTCTTCCTATTTCAACCAAACCCTGAAATAACTGTGAAATCTTTGAAGAGAGGAGAAAATGTCACATACCTTGCTTCGAGTTCCCAGAAAGTAGTATCATCAGACAGCCATGGGTTCGAAGGGTCAGGTGGCACAAGAAATGGGTCATATTCTAAGTATTGTTCTGTGTAACTTAACAGACTAGAGAGAAAAAAACATTTTCATCTTCTTTAGTTTTTCTGGCTGAGCTTATACCCAGCCCCAAAATATGGAACACAATATAGGAAGGTCTGGCTGAGGAATTACTTGTTTATAGAGTAAAATCTAACAGCAATTTTTACGTTTCAGTAACTTACATGCATCAGCTTATGGTGCATCTTGGAAGGCAAACGTGGCTAAGGGTCCACATCTACCCGTGCCTGATCCAAGTGAGGCAACATCCCTCCATTCAAATGAAGCAAAATGGAAGGCGTCGGCGTGTGAAAAGCTGTGCTAAAAGCCAGTTCCAACCTTTGGTCAACCACTCCACCCACAGCTGAACTGATTTTAGCCAACTTGGAGAACGGGTTAAAAGGCAATTGTTGTCAAAAGTATTTATAGGAATTAGGTAAAGGGGAAATCACTAACTTTTTAAAAAAAAAATCTGTATTTAAGAAAAGAAATAAGAAAAAGATGGAGAGGAGAGGAAGGATGTTGGAGAGGTAGGATTTGGCAATGCTCCAAAGTAAAGAACACGTGTGCCATTAATAACAAATTTAAATGAAGAAAAGGAAAATACTGAAAATCTGTGTTTAATTCAAATTCTGAAGTCATGTAGTCATTGAAAAGTGTGAACGTTAAGATGAATTTACAGAGAGGTTCTAAGTTGCCAAAAAGTAACTTGATAAATTGAAAGCTTCATTTCTCTCAGCAGGAGTGAAAAATTCAACTCCTTGGAATTATCTTCTGTATCTGATTCTGGCTACGCAGGATTGGATCGCTACAGATTGAAGATTGTAATGATCATTCTGTCATTTAAACTATGACAGAAGAGGGCTTTGGAAATTTTCTATGTGCAAAACGGAAAAACAAAATAACATTTCCTACAGGATTCCATTTTTAGCTCATCTGTCACATGAAATTTTTTTTATTTATAGGGGCATCTTGAAATACTCACCTATCAGCAACTTTTGACATTTTTAACCGATGTCTATCTAACTGTATTTGCCAATATTTAATCTGAAAAGAGTTAAGGAAGTAGTTAAATAAGTAGTGACATTCTCATAATTTTCAACTCTAAATTCTGATAGACTGGGCAATTCTAAGTATTTATTCTAAGTAAATTTCAAAATCTGAAAAATCAAATGAGACAGCTCTGAAAATTAAAGTGTTTGAATAAAAACATAGCCAGCATCACTTTAGAACAGCAATGAATCTGAACTTTCTGCATGCTTTAACAAAATGTAAATTTATTTGAAAAATGTTCTAGAGATTGTAAACATTTATTCATATTGAATAACCAAATCAGAATCATCCCCCCATGTTTAATTCAGAAAATAAACACATTTGTTATTTGTACTACAATTTCAAAGTAAATCCTACTTCCTCGTACTAGACCAAGAAATCATCGATGATGTGTGTTTTGGGAATAATTTTATCAGCACTTCAGGACAAACACATGGACCTAATCACATACGGGAAACTTTGAAACTCTCTAAATTACTACATTTGTGGCGATTATAAATATACTAGAAAAAGTATTGTTACACTATTGATAAACCGTATCACAGTAAAATGTTAGGGGCAAAGAATCAAAAGGGGGAAAAAGCCCCATGACCAAGTGAAAGAGATTTCACTATTATTTGATATAAGAGACACTGGTGTTTGCTTTGAAATATTACTTGGAACCAAAACTATTGATCAATCAGTGAAACAAGACATGATGTATATCCTAACTGTACACCAGTGTTAATGAGGGAGAACTTTGAGAAGCTTATGGAGAGCAGTACCGGAAGAACAAGAAAAAACACTCGGTAAAGATCATGTCACATGACCGGATACATAGAACACGTGACTCAGCATCACCAGGTTCTTGCCTTCTCATCCTTCCAGAAGAGTTCCAGAGCACAAAATAACTCTTGAAACAGAGACAACTAAAGATCACTGCATGTCCTTTTAAAAAACTGGTTAGAGGACACAGGACTCAGGGAATTAAAGAGTGAAGAGATTTGGAAAGCATCTCCATATGTTGATACATTTCCAGGCAACTACGTATCTTCAAATTAAGTGATTTCACTACCTTTTAACTGCAAACCTTCTCTGTGAAGCAACCAACCATACAGATAACCTCTTACAAACCCCTGCCATTGACACTGACCATGCCATCTTCACTGCAGGGCGTTTTATAGGTTGACCCACCTGTTGCTGTAGCTCATCTTCTGTTGGAGGTTTAGTTTCTGGTGTGGGGGTGTGGGTAGGGCTGTGACTTCTGATGTCATTTTGTAAACCATAGACAGACTGTATTAAAGTAAAAAAGAAATACGTGAGGATAAAGTACGATTTATAGTCGCAGACTTTCTAAAAGGTAATTTTTGTGTCATATATTCAACAAGGTAAGTCACAGCTTTGCTGCATATTTGATGAAGCTTCTTATTAAAATTCAAAGGCACAGCTATCATAAATATCATATGAATATAAAGTAGGAGCACAGCTCTTTGAAAAAATATGTGGTTAGATTATTAACTCTGACAGAATAATTGATCATATGGAAAGAATGTGGTAAGGCTGATAATAAGATCTGGGGGTGGACTGGGTATGAAGTCGGGGGAACAACGACACTATATAACATTTAGTAAGTATTGATTTCAGAATAAAATAGGGGTGGATATAGAATAAAAATTTAATAAGCCAAAAGAAAATGAAAATAAGTTGAGTTTTACAGAACGGAATACTGAGGAGAGAGACTAGGTTAACCATTCCATTGCTGAGTTAGTCTCTGCGGGCGTGATCAGAGACACCCCAGAGCGCTCCAACTTTCCCAGCTCAGCATGGGGTTGTCAACCTCTCCACTCTGGCCTTGCCATTCAGTGCCACTGGGTGCCTTTTGCAAACATCAGTGATCCCAAAGTTTTCACTTTGGAATTCTTTTTCTTTTTCTTTCTTTCTTTCTTTTTTTTTTTTTAAAGATTTTCTTTATTTATTTGACAGACAGAGATCACAAGTAGGCAGAGAGGCAGGCAGAGAGAGGAGGAAGCAGGCTCCCCGCTGAGCAGAGAGCCCGATGTGGGGCTCGATCCCAGGACCCTGAGATCATGACCCGAGCTGAAGGCAGAGGCTTTAACCCACTGAGCCACCCAGGCGCCCCTTCACTTTGGAATTCTTGATGCCCCAGGGCTTCTTTTGCATCTTGTCAAAAGGTCAAACCTACTGCTTAGGAATATTCTTTTTTGAGAAAGACCTAGTATGGGGGTGCCTGGGTGGCTCAGGTGGGTAAGCATCTGCCTTTGGCTCAGGTCATGATCCCAGGTCCTGGAACTGAGCCCAGAGCCCTGGGTCAGGCTCCCTGCTCAGTGGGGAGTCTGCTTCTCCCTCTGCCCCTCCCCCTGATCATCTCTCTCTCCCTCTCTCTAATAAATAAAATCTTAAAAAAAAAAGACCTATTCTTAGTAAGTACTAATAAAGATCCAGAGACTTAAAGAGACCAAAAAAAAAAAAAAACTTCAATGTCACATGTCAACTCAAGGGAGAAGCCAAATAACTTTTTCTTTAATATCAAAGAATTACTATTAATATGAGCTACGGGGCACTGTTTCTTGGGACAGGAGGATGAAAGATAAGGCCATAATAAAATTTCATGAGGCCACAAAATTAAAGGTACCAGATAGGTTTGGAAGAAACTCTTGAAATCAGAAGAGGGTAGATCCGCGTGTTCAACCAGGCAGGTTTTCAGGCTCACCAACCTCACCAGTATCTCTAAGTTCACATGTGTTTTGTTCTGGACCCGTTTTCACTCAGACTCTATCTTTTCTTAACGTTCACCTGTTAGCTTTCTACCTGGACCCTCTGGATGGACTTGATTTCCCTCTTGGAGCTCCCCATTACTTGGCTCTTAGGCTTTCTTCAGTAGATGTTGGCTTGGCTTTACCTTACCTGAATCCACCATTGTAGACTATCTTTGGTAAGTCTTTCAATCTGCCCTCTCTTGACCTAGCCTCTGAGAACCTCTGAGAACTCAGGTTCTATCACTGGGCAACAATTTCAGCCCAACGAGCAGCACATACGCTGTGAATTAATTATTCATAGGACTGAGCTGAATGGCTTCAATTTTTTTTCTTTCATTTATTCATTCAACCTCTATTGAACACCTAGTATATATTGGATATAATGCTGAGCATTAGGAATATAGAAGTAAACAAAGACAGATATGTTTTCTCCTTCATTGGAACTCACAACTTAGTGGAGGGGAAACATGTTACACAAATAATCACACAAACAAACACACTACTAAAACTGTGGTAAGAGTTATAAAAGAAGATAATAATAGAGCATAATAGGAGCAGAGGGCTTGAAGTACAGGAGACTTAATTTCCACCAAAGAAACAGAAAAGGCCTATGTGAACTACTGATATTCATATCTGAACTTTGAACTCTGGAGTAACTGTTGAGGTTGATTTTTTTTTTTAATTAGGCAAGTGAAAGAACACCAATTATTCAATAATCGTAGACAATCCATGTGGACATTTTCAGTGGTATTACATTAATTTTTGATAAAGAAAACAAAACGACTCTAAGGCTTGAATGCTGCATTCTTGTTTATCTTCGTTTAATTAAAGTTCTTAATAAGAATCTACACTCAAGCAAAAAATGCTTATAAGGTAAGAGCGCAGACTGTTTTAAAAGTAAATATTTGGTTAAGATTAAAAATAATTAAAAAGACTGCCAGAAAAATACTGCACTTTATGGTGTCATAGACGTAAACTGATCTAGAAGCTATCTTCTGTCTCCACATTTCTCTGATGGTTTCGGTATGCATGCCTCGCGCATCGGCTCAGGGAGTTGGAGGTAAGAACCGAATCCCTGGGAGGCGGTGTTGAAAGCAGCCCTCCTGCAGCCTTGCTAAGGGCTCTGAGGTTACTCTGGCATTTTCTGTTTCAGGCAGGTAAACATCAGGAGTTCTCTCTCTCATCAGTCACGGTGCCTTTCATTTTCTGGGGGCCAGTGATAGCTTTTAACTTTGATTCCTGGCCACAGTGAAAATGGCCATGAATAATGAAGTTTTATGTACATGGCTTATTTTACGGACAGAGGAGGGAAGGAAATCGATCTTATCTTGGCAGACAAGTTCTGAGGATCACTGAAATGTAAAAGGTTTTGATTTCTTTTTTTAAAGAAAAAGGAAATATATTAAAATATTGACCTAGAGTGGGCGGAGTAGAGTCAGCAACAGGTAGGATGGGAGGGGAAGGGACATGCCATTCTCTCAATGGGGAAAATAAAATTAACCAATTAGCATCCATTTTGAGCTGTTAGCAAAGCTAATTAACAATCAAGATGCTTTGATGTAATGAGTATGTCCGTTTATTTAAGTTCAGGGTGCCTGACCCCGTTTTTCTCACATAGGGTACCATCCACATGAACTGGGTAAGTTATTCATAAAGTGAAACAGATGTGACTTTCTTCAAAACCTGTTCATATGTCATTTCCCTTCACATCTTAGAGGAAGTCTAAGAAAATGCTCTCCTACTTTTATCTTTGGCGGGCGGGGCGGGGTGGGGTACTTTAAACCAGAAAGTAAAGAGTACACAGGAAGCTTTTAAGCCTATCTTTGTGGAGAGAAATCTCTGGGACCTTTCCAACTGGTGGTGGAGGGAGGGGATATTTTTCTCTTCCTTCTGGATTGCTCAGCTCGACCAGAGAACAGATTGTGACCACATCTGCTGCTATGTGGAGGAAGCCAGTGCACAGAGAGAAGGAGGCCCAGGAGAGGGAGAGAACCCTGAGGAGTCCCTGCGTCTGTGACTTCCGGCGCTAACTGTCCTGCCACCTCCCAAGGGTTTAGAATATTCTCTGAGTTTTGCTATTTTGAGCAGAATGTTGCCTGCTATTTGACTGTACTTCTTACTTAAAACCCTTCTGTGTTACTCTAAGGCACAAGTCATTTCTTCTGTTAAAATTAAACTTCCACATTATGCATATACAAGTGAGGAAATGCCAATTTTTTATGTATAAACAGTTTTATGTATAAATAGCCACTGCATTAAAAGCAGAAAAACCAGACATTTAGTCATGAATTTCCTACCTGTTCCTCCAGAATGTGCCCATTAGCTATTACCTAAAATATTACCTAAAATATGAAGTGTCTTAATGTCTAAATGAAAGTGACAGAAAAAAGAAAAGTCATGAGGCAAGAAACAGCTTACTTTTGTTTTGAAATATGGGTCCTGAAGTTATAGGAAGCAATCCAGCGTGTGGGGTTAGTCATGTACATACAAATGCTTTTCTCATTTTCCTCAGGTTTTGTGTTGTCCTAGGGCCCCTCTCACTATTGTCCTATAGAAGGGTCCATCCTGTGACAGTCAATTTTATGTGTCAAGCTGGCTGGGCCGCAGTGCTCAGATATTGCCTCCAACGTTATCTGGGATATTTCTTTGAGGATATTTTTGCATGAGATTAAAATGTAAATCGGCAGACTCTGAATACAGCCAATGACCCTCCATAAAGTGGGTAGGCCTCGTTCAGTCAGGTGAAAGCCTGGACACAACACAAAGACTCCCTCCAGGCCAGAGGGAATTTTGTCAGCGGACGGCAATGCTTCCCTGGGACCCTAGCCTGGCCGACCTCTTCAGGTTTGGGCTTGGCAAACCTCTACAACTGCATGAGACAATTTCTTCAAATAAATCTCTCTCTCCCTCTCTCTGTCTCTGTCTTTCCCTCCTGCCCCCTCTGGGGAACCCCGACTGACACACCGCCTGCCTCACCTATTATAATTAAAGTTTTAGAAAGAGACTGAAGGAAATCCGGCACACAGCGGCCCTTAACATTTTGCCTAGATTAGGCTGATTTCTTTCTGGCGATGCTACATTATCATTCCTTCATAGAGACGTAAGGAAATACATTCCGCCTCCTTCTTGTATTTTAGTAAAGACAGATTTTAAAAACTGACAGATCCTAAATACTTAAAAATATCTCAAATCAGATGTACTTCTAAGCCTTCTCTTCACATTTGATAAACATATTTGAAATTCAACAATTAAATACAGCATTCCAATCCCTGGTTTTCTTTAGGTACATATGATGGATTATTGCCTTAGGGAGTTCCTGGGTCCCTTATTCTTGGGATGATATATAATCACGAGAAATATTACAGCTGACTGCCAAAGAAACGAACAGCGGCTCTCTTGCTAAGGTGAGCACAGCTGGCAAAAATGAAAGACGATCCAGGAGTTCCACCTCCTTATCAGCAGAAGTTTAAGACAGAGAGTGGTCACACCACTAGGAGAATGAGCAAAGGACAGTCTGATTCGCTGTGGAGGGCAAAGACGGTTTTCAAGGAGACAGGCTGGCCTCTGCCATTTCTGTCTAAGGCTTGCAATCCCACAGAACTGCCCACTGCACAAGAACAGAGCTGTGGAGACTTCAGGGGATGGCGGGACAGTTTTTTGTCTGCCATGTACTTTTTGGTAATAAAATGGTGTGGTGACTTAGAGTCCCAAATCATTCGAATTCCCTTGATAACATGTTACGGGCTGAGTTGCATCCCCCTGAAACTCATGTTGGAATCCTAATCTCCACTGTGACTATATATGGAGATGGAGTCTATAAGGAGGTAGTCAAGGTTAAAGGAGGTCATCGGGTAGGACCCTAATCCTATGGAGCTGGTGTCCTTACAAGAGGGACAGACACCAGAGCTGTCTCTGCCATGTGAGGACACAGGCTGCAAGAAGGCAGCTGTCCACAGCCAGGAAGAGAGCTCTCACCAAAAACCCAACTTGATCCGGGACTTCTAGTCTCCAGAACTGTGAGTGAATAAATCCCGCTATGTAAGCCACCAAGGTTGTGGCACTTCGTCCCGGTCACTTGAGCGGACTAACAGATGCCACTTAACACAATGGCAGGGTTACAGGTGTAGAGACATTTGCCTGCTTGTTCAGTGTGCCCACTCCCTTGAGACCATGAGCTGTGGGAGCACGGTCATGCCTGTCCCCTTCCCATCGAGTATCTGAGAGCCAGTACACACTTGGCATAACGTAGAGCCTTGTCACCTCTGATGGGATGGGTCATTCCAGTTATTAAGCAAGTAGGAGTTAACGGAGCAATGGTCCTAATTCTACAAGACCAGCCAGTACGGGGCTGAGAGTCCCATGACCTTCTACGTAAAATAACATGATTTGAGAAGATGCTAGCAAATTCAACACTTCTGACTCTGAGAAACTATATATATACCCAAAAGTAAAAAAAAACAAAAAAAAAATCAGCATCCTCCAATTGTTGGAGACAAGGGAAGGCACGCTACTTGCTGTAGCATTCTTCAGGATTTTTGTTTTTTTTCTGGGCCTGCAGTTCTACCATTATCGATTCACAGGAAGTCGGACCACAACTGAGACAGAGCCCAGCGATTCCATCTCAGCAGAATTCCACCTTGCTAGGCCTGATGGTTTCCCATCATTAAGTGAGGGCTGATGGGTGTGAGCCCACCATTGCCAATTAAAGCTTTTCAAGTTCTCAAAAAGCACGATGCCGTGTGTAGCCCCGGTAAGACGTCCGTACCGTGTACCATTAGGAACACAGTGGAAATGACGGCTTGATTATCTTTAAGTCCTATCTGTCATCCATATGCTTTCTCTTCCGAGTCAGAGCCCATCTTACTTGGTGTCTGTTGGGAAAGCTTGACACAAAGTAAGGTATTATGAGAAGTAATTCTTCAAAATTCGGAAGCAGTTTGGGGGGCTGAAGGTGCTTTTTGGAGAGAAGGTTACAGCTCTGAATGCTGTTCCTCAGCACAAAACCAGTCCCCAGTGCGCTGAGGCCATGCTGTGCACAGAGGACGGAAGGAACCGCGTGCGGCCAGTCACAGGAGAGTGGGGCCGACACACCTGGTTTTGTCTGGCTTTGCCTCTTCCTCTCGGAGAGCTCCTGGGGGAAAAGCTTTGGAGCGCCGCGCCTGAGTGGGTTTGGTGGCACTTTTCCTGTGGCTTCTTTATCCTGACATCAAGGTAAACGGACTTAAAAGAAAGCAAAGTTACTTGGATCATATGGGGGCCTCTGAACCTGATGTTTATATTTCTAGGGATGCAAGGAAAAAGACAACAAGAAATAAGACCACAAAAAAAATGTTTAGTGCCTACTGGAAAACCCTGACGCTATATAAGGAAAAAGCCACAAAAAGGAAGGTCTTGAGCTTTGTGGAATGCTTTAATCCAGTGGTACCAACTCTGCTCTGCGTCCTCAGCCCAGAAATTCTTATTTTTCATGGAATGAATAAAAATGCTTTCTGTGTGTATGTGTTACTTTAAAAAATATGGAGTTACTACTGCTATGTATTTTCAAGAGAGTATTTAAAATATCACTGAATTGAATTTAGGATAGCTTTTTGTTTGTTTGTTATGTGTCCTCTCACATAACACACACCAAATGGACATTCAACAATTATGGTTGTGTTACAAAATTCCAGTGTTAAAAGAGGATCCTCATACAAACCCTATAGTTACATGTCTTTATCATGGCCCTTCTCTGCTCATAATTTTCTCTAAAAATACCCTTCTCTCATCCATATCACTTTTTCTCAGATAATCTCCGTCTGCGTTTCCTTACCCTCTGGGCTCTGAAAGAAAAGCCTTTCTCCGCTGATGGTCCTTCCCTCCAACGGGGAGAAGATGTGCCCTCAGCATCTTTGCCCTCATCACAGCGACCTGCATGTGCTGGAGAACCATGAAGGGACGGGCAAAAGACCAGGGCTTGAGTTCCAAGATTTTCTTCTAGCCAAGGAACAAGGAAAAGCAAGGAAGATGCTAGAGATACTCCATGAAGTGGGCAAAAGGTTTTCATGACTGATGTCCTCCAAACAGTACAACCCACACCAAGATCAGCACAGCAGACGTAAGTATTACCTTCCGTGTTTTGTGTGGGTTTCTCATTCTGGATGACTTCTTGATGTCCACTTCAGTGGTATTTACACATCCAGGCTGGAAATGGAAAAACAGAGAGACAAAGGAATCTTTGAGAGTGAGGTTTTTGATCCATGCATTAATGACTTGCTGTCCATGTCCCTGGTAAGTCTTTCAGCAGACCCAGTAAAAAAATTTATTATACTCTCACTCCTTGCATAAAAAGGACTTCAGATAACATTCTCGAATAACATCCAGAAAAATAGGGAAAAGAAATGCATGGGCTTCGCCCGTGACAGTGGGTGTTGACATTAGTAGTTGCTAAGCCAACAGACTCAGAGCAAAGGTATCTGAAGATTAAGTGGATGATAGCCCAGCTGGTACCCACACACAGCCCTGCTCAGATGCCCCCTCTATGTGAGGTGACACTGTTAATGAAAGGCTGTTTGCTTCCCAAGTTGGGAAACTACCATCTGTTGACCCAGCTCAAATCCCAGAATGAATTTTTTTTTTTTTACAACGATTCGTGAAATCAAGGTACTAGACATATTAGTAATATAGATTAATATTAATAATAATAGTTAATAACAATATTATAATTAGTTAACAGTTAATAATAATTAACAACAGTATTAATAATAATTACTAATAATAGAATGGGAGTGTGGGCAGCCTGCGACTGGTTCTCTGACGACCTCAAGAGGATCATTTTTCCGGATTTATTGTTCTGTTGCACAGAAAGAGAGAGCAGTAAAGCTTCCTTTGTATTTGGAGGAGGAGGGGGAAGGAGGAAGAAGAGAGCAAGGATAGGTAGGGGGTGAGGAGGGGAGGAGAAACAGCAGGGAGGAGGGAGAGGGAGGGGAGAGAGATGATAAATCAGGAAAAAGAAGAAAGGAGTGTCAAGAATATAGGAGACCTTCTATCTAGAAAGGTCCTCAGATATCACTTAGTCTCTAGAAGTGACCGGAAGGAAGTGGTTATATAGAGACTGTTTTGCCAGCTTTCAAGTCCTGGTACCGGATATAGGGATCTCTGGTACTAGTCAAAGGTATTATGTTGTACAGCTCTGCTCAGTTTCTCTATTTCCCCCACAGACGGCAAGATCATGAAAACGTCAGATACACTTGAAAGTGACTCCAGAGGAACTGTGAATATGGAAAAAGATTTCTCCATCCTTGGGATGTTGTGGGATGGGGAGGGGTAAAAAGGCAGCGCTGGTGTGATTCCAGAAATAAGCTGTTCTCTACACTCACTGGCAGGCAAGGGGACTGACTCTGTTATAATGAGCACATGGGGCATTTTCTTAAGTCACACCGTCCTGACAGCACGGCCACTGGGACAACACTCCGCTATAATAGTGTACAGGATGAGGAAGCAGGCAAGGAAAGCCTTTTCTCTTGATTTTTCTCCTTATGTATGTTGCATATGAACTATATATACCACAAACAGAAATACACACACACACACTCTGCACTAAAATCTTAAATAAATGACAAATTTGGTTGCGTATCTAGATGGAAATAGCTGGTTTAGCACCATGGTCTGCTTGGCTGTATGGGAGGAAGAGCACCCGCATGGGTGGACTGTATTTACTGACACGGAGCCTCTCACTTTAGATACCCCAGCATCAGACTGATGACGATCTGATATTCCAATTTGATTTTTCTATGGCTGGTTATGGCCTGAGTATTTTTTAAAAGACCCCCAGTGATTCTGATATGCAGCCAGGATTCACAATCATTGATCTAGATGTAGCAAAGTAGCAAAGTTTTGAAAATATTAAAGCAATATTAAAGTGTCTTCATTTCCTTTTAGATTCTATTTCTGTGCAACCTTCCACCTGTAAGCCTCAGTCCACTAGGAAGGTGAAGCACTGAAATTCTTTAAGCTCTTACTGATTCTTCAAGAGCCGAGTGTGCCAAGACAGACCACAGAGATCTTCTTTATGTTAAGGGGGGCGGATAATGAGGATGTGATATAGAGGAAAGGGAAGGCACGTCCTACCATGAGCTGGAGAAGAAGAGACCATTTATTATTTATTGAAAAATAGTCATTTCTGCATCTAATTGTCAGACTTTGTGATAAATGGTGAAATACAAGGACGGATGTGTAATCTTCTAATATAATGAGGATACTAAAACGTGAATGAGCACCGTGTGGGAGCACAGGACTGGAGAGAAGTTGGCATGGGCATTACGCAACAGAACATTTCATACATCCCTTATTATGGCCATCCTCTGGGTTCTCACCAACATGGCAGATAAATATATGTATTTTTAGTATTTGAGCAAATTTGATCCCTATAAGAGCATGTGGTCTTTGGTTATTTTAAAAAGGCAGTCATCCTTTTAAGGCATATATAACTTGACCACGAGCTGGCACCAGATCCACGCAAAATGTGATGCCTAAGTTGGTTCTCTGCACTACTAAACACAGCTTCCCAGTAAGATATGAATAACATAATCACTACCGAGTAAGCACTCAATAAAGAATGTTCAAATATGTACTGCGGGCCAGGTATAATACGAAGTTCACAATATCATTCAATTTAAGGTATAATAATGAAGTAATATTTACACTGGCCTGGAAAAGAATCATAACTTATTTTGAGCGATCCAAAGGTATATTTATTCAACAGAATTCAGCTATGCTGTGACAGTACTGCAACATTACTTATTAAAAAGTAAAATTTAATGCCTTGGAATCCATTCCTGAAGTAGCAAAAGGATCACATTATTGAGAAATATTACTGCCATAGTGTTCATGTCAGTGTCTTAATGAGTTGCAAAGCAGAGCTGAAATTTTGGTTTCATCACTGATTTTACTTAAAAGAATCTAAGTACCTTTCAGTTCCTGTCATGGCAAAATGCCATTATTAGTTGTGGCAGAAGGCACACTGTTCTCAGGATAACAAGGGAGACTTAAGGACTCTTCAGTGAAGAGCAGCGTGAAGAGACAATCATGGAAAACCACTTTCTTTAATTTAGTCCCAGTACCTGAAGTGAAATTGGGTAAAACCATGTCCTCGATGACAAATGAATGGAGATTTAAGAATGAGGTGGTAAACAGAACTGATAATAAGAGAGATCCATATTCCTGGAAATTAGGAAAAAAGATACAATTCTGGGAAAAAGTAAGGTTTTGAATATTGAATGTTGAAATATTTTGAATAATTATTGGCTCAAATGTGATTCAGTTACTGGGGAAGATTTGCCATTTTGTAACACAGAACAAGTTTTAAAAGTTCAATTTGTCATGTATTATACCACAGTGAGAACGATTCCTCACTCTTACCTAAAGTGATTACAGGTTCTAGAGTGTTCTACCTCAGGATATTTTTTTTTTTTAAACATCGAATTGAAGCTTTTATTTCGGTTCTTGGGTCAGCAAGGCTTACTAAATGCTGTATGTGAAGGAGGTTGTTTAAGGTAACTACTCTGGAATTCCTTCCATTCACTCTCCTCTATAATATTTATTTGTTTGATTACTACTCAGTCTTATTTGTGGTTCTGGATTATATAGTCCCGCTTCGGTGTAGGCTGTGAACAAATTCTGGGAGTCCACCGAGAGAATGAAGGCTCTGGCAGCAGAGGGGAGAGAACTACACCACGGTGACCTGGAGCTGTGGACAGTGGTCAGGTAGAAACTGCAGCTCAGGGTAATGAGCTAAAGGTAAGTCTACCACGGTAATGGTAAGGTAAGCCTACAGAGAAGTAGAGGTCATAATGGAAGTGACTTGATATGATTTATATTTTTAAATAAAAACTAACAAAAATTAACTCCAGACAGATCACAGACCTACATATGCTAACCTATAACTCTCCCTAGAAGATAAGCATAGGTGAAAATCTAGGTGCCCCGAGTTTGGTGGTCATTTTTTATATTCGACAGCAAAAGCAGAGTCCACGTGAGAAATCAGTGGTAAGCTGAACTTCACTAAAATGAAAAACTTCTGTTCCATGAAAGATAAGCCAGACTGGGAAACATTTGCAAAGGGTGCGTCCGATGAAGACAAGCATACAAATATACAAAAAACTCTAAAAACTCAACAATGAGAAAATGAGCAACCCAATTAAAAAATGGGCAAAAGGTCTGAACAGACACCTTACTGAAGAAGATACACACATGGCAAACGAGTGTATGAAAAGATGGTACACATCCTGTGTCATTAGAGAATTGCAAACTAAAGCAAAGTTTAAATACCAGTACACACTTACTACAAGAGCCAGGATCTTGTCCTGACAACATCAGATGCAGTGGGCTGGAACTCTCATTCCTTGCTGGTGGGAATGCAAACTGGTATAGCCCTGTAGTGGGGACCCTGAAAGGTTTTTTTTTTTTTTTTTTTTTTTTTGTAATGTAAATGCCTGATTGAGTCTTTGGTGAACTAGCAACCAACCTGTTGAAAGAGGCACCCATTTCAAAGACTGCTATCTCAAAGAAATGCCTCTTCAGCCACACCACTGGATAAAGAGGTGGGCTGCCTCCCACCTGTGGTTCCTTTGTTTTAGAGAGCTTGGTTGATCTCAACAACTCATCATCTTGGCTACTTGTTTTTGTTTTATTTTTGCTCTTCCTCTTCCACTGCTTTAAATCCCTGCTCTTATGTTTTAAATTCACCAGTAAAGAGTGAGCCTATGAAGCCTTGGGTCCCCACCTGGACCCTAGTAAAAGCAGTACCCCAGGCCCGTGTCCTCCTCTCTCCCCTCTCCCCTCAACCTCATTAGGTGGCCCCAGACGTGCTATGTAATTAACAGGTTCTATAAGTGGTAAACCTTTATTTCTTTTAAGTTTCCTGATAGCTGTTGTCCAAGGGCAACTTGCAGGAACGATAAGAACCATGGGTTGATCTGACCACAGCACTGGTTATCGACAGGCTGAGACCAGCACAAAACCAGCCACTCTGGAAGCTATTTGGCAGTTTCTTACAAAACTAAATCTCCTTTTCCATCTGATCCAACAATTGTGCTCCCTGGTATTTATCCAGAAGAGCTCAGAAAGTATGTCCTCACAAAAACCTGCACATGGATCTTCATTGCAGCTTTATTCAAAATTGCCAAAACTTGACATCAGGCAGT